CATTATGACATCACAACATATTTATATCACACACACACACATACACATATATACTACCTTACAAACCAGATTTGTCAAAAGTCTTAAAAACAATTTTTAATGCACAAAGTACTATAGATTTATGCACAAAGTCTTAAAAATCTTAAAAATAAGTCATAATGCATTAAGTACTACTACTTTATGCATTTAGTCTAAAAATCTCTTAAACTACAATTAAAATAACATATAATACAAGTTAACAATGCATATTATTACTTTTTTTTTCATGTTCCCAAGATATTTTTGACACATTTCACTTATGCCTTCACCATCTCATACATCTATGTCTTCTTCTCATCCCCCAAGGTAAGATTCAAAATTATATTCACAATAAGTTATTCGTTCATCTCTCATTCAATTGCTTTAGAACTTTCGGTTTCACTCTCGATCTCTTGATTCTTTGCTCTTGGTGTAAATCGAATACATTTATGGAGTCGTTTAAATMTGTTGGATTTTAAATATATTTGATTTTAAACTGTCATACAATTTTTTCATCGATAGACTGTAATTGGAACCATAACTCTTATTTATTCAAATTGAATTAATATGTAAAGATCAAGTATAACTTATATCATCATTAAATCTTCTCTAATAAAACCAGTGAAACTTCAAAACCGTTAAAATTCACAGCTCCTACCGCATTACGCGGGTATACAACTAGTATATATATTGAAGCGTTTCAACTTGAATGCAAGAGAGGTAACATACCAGTTATTGGTGGACGTATCGGGGGTGTTCCAGGGCCTCTGACCCCACATGTGGCTAGCCGAGGTTACAAGGAAGGTGAAGTGATTCATCACCAATTCTCGCATGCCCTACATCACAAATCCAAAATCAATTAACGATTCTCTTGCATATATTATTACCTTTTACGATCAATTGAACCCTATGAAATCTCTGATACAATACTTGATGTAACTTTAATAAGTTTTTAAGATCAGTTTTATAATAAGTTGTTAAAACAAAGTTATTTATACGACCTAATAAGTTTTACCGAGAAGTTTAGCAACCTAATAGATGCAAAATGTAAATCGTTTTATTATACTTTTGTGAACTGGGTACATGTGAAACAAACAAATTGTGAGACAAAAATATGTTAATTGATATTCTAAATCCTAGTCTTAGATAAGCAAAATTCATACGAGGCCTCATCAATAAAAGCTCAGTAATTTATGATAATCGTGAGATACAATTTGACCCCTGATCTAAAAAAGTGTATCATAGTGTGTATTCATGTTGGACTAAGATGAGAGAAGAAAGGGGAGAGATAAACTATCAAAGGAGAGAGGAAAGATAAAATAAATATAAATTTTCCTAAAATGCTATTTTTTTAAAAATTTTAAGTCAAAATTATTAATTTTTTAATTTAACTTTTGATTTGTGTTTGAGATATCTTACTAGTTCTCCTTTGAATGACTTCATATATATATATATATATATATATATATATATAAAAGGTTGGTTTCATGTGAGAACATATTGTTTTTGTGAGACCCGTGAGACTACATTTTTACACTTGAAACTTCACAGCAAAATCACTGTGAAGGTTTAAAAAAGTCAAACCTTCACAGCAAAAACACTGTGAAGGTTACATTCACAGCATTTTGCTGTGAAGTTTCAAGTGTAAAAAGCTGGTCTTACGGGTCTCACGAAAACAGGCTGGTCTCACGTGATCCAAGTTTATATATATAACTTAAAATCTTATAAAATACTATATTCTGAAAAGCATTGAACATCCTAAATAACAGATGGGATTAGTTATATATATACCATTCCCCATGCCAAGTAGGGAAAGCCTCCATGGAGATATAGTAGGGCTGCAAGTGCAACCGTATGCCAAATAGACGTGTCATGAAGAAACCGATAGAACCACTGCGCCTTTAACTCGGCTACGTTCGAGTATTCTCCACTTCTTGATTCTCCACACTAATTCATTTCATCAATTTCCAAATCAAAGATTACCCACTAATTACAGATGCATACATCATTCTGATTATATATATATATATATATATATATATATTATAGAGATGGTAAAATTTATCACCTTTGCAGCAATATACTGGTTGTGACAAAACCAACCCATATGACTGAACCAGAAACCTTCCATTGGGGTATGAGGGTCCTTTTCTGTATCAGCATACTTATGATGCTTCTTATGCACGCTAACCCAAAATATTGGATCTTTCTGCATGCATTTGTAAATATGACCAATAAACAATTCGCCAGCAGAAAACACGATTAAATGCTATAAAATGATTCATGGAACCCACCTGGCCACCATGAGCACCACAATACACGAAGAAATACTCGAGCCATTTGGGGATCTTGAAACTCCGATGAGTAAGTAGTCTATGATAACCTAGGGTAACACCCAGTCCGGTGAAGATCAATAACACTAGAGCCACCCAAAATGCACCCCAATCGAACACGAATGGTGCACAACCACCCAACACATGCCTCACGATGATCAAACAAAGGTTGGTTATGTCTGCTGAATCCCATTTCCGGAACCAAAACCCTCTCTTCCGCATCTTCTCCAGCTCCAGTATTGGTGTGGACTCGGGTGGTGCCATAGTTACATAATTTGGCATTTTGTTATAAAGCAGGGTGACCTTTGCTGATGGGATTGGAACTTGGGTGTTTTGTCGATGGCTGCAGTGGTCGGAAAATAAATGGTTGATCCTCCCTTGATGGCTGTTGGTCATAGGAAAGTAGGGATAATTAGCAACGTGGCTGTAGCTAGCGACTTTGGAGGAGCGGGGATGTGGATGCGAATTTGTAATTTTATGCATATGTTTGAGGTTCTAATTATGTTGGGTCCACTTTGTATTATCCATCTTTCAATACTGTTCTCATTACGTTTAAGGTTCCAATTACGTCAAGTGGGCGCTTTGGTTACATTCAAATCTTACAACAAAAAAATTAATTGAAAAGTTTGGATTTAATTATTATATCAAATATTAATTACATTTATAATGTTAAAAAGATTGACATGTCTAAAGTTTAATTATTATAACAAATATTGGTAACATTTAAACTTAAAAAAATCATCATTAATAGAGAAATAATATATATCATTCCTAACATTTTTAATTTTCCAATTACTCAAACATCAATTTAGAAACGTTGAATTTCCTTTAGAGTAAATTATGGATTTGATGACTGTGTTTTGATATATATATATTTTTTTTGATTAAGGTCTTTATGCTATGTTTATTATGGTTTTGGTCTATTTATGGTGTTTAACATGTCTTGGTCATGGTCCCAATAATTAATACCATTAAAATGAATCTGTTAACTCGGTTACATCAGGGTCATTTTAATTTTTTGTCTATTTTTTATATTTTTCCTATTTACAGAATTCTTACCTTTTCTTAAACTATTTGTTGCTGCTTTTATTTGTCACATGTCTTACTATGATACATCTTCAAATGAATTTATTCAATGATTCACATATAAACTTTGATTTAACATTCTCTTCGTACTCGCGATATTTAGCATTGTTATTTAAACCTTCCACTACATATATGTATGTATATATAGCATGAATATAATTGAATGTATATAAAACATCATACTAATTATATGATCTCGGTTTTGTAAAAATCTTAAAAACTCACCAATTGGCTGATGTCGATGCTTAGCACACTAATAAACCAAGATTGTATTAAACAACTGATCCGCAGTATTTGCATACTTTTCTATGACACTTTTGCTTATTAATTAGTCCAAACCCAAGGCATTGCTCGAATTTTCCATAATTTGTCTCAACATCATACCTTAGGTATAATGAATGTTCATACAGTCCACATAACGTTTTTCGCATTCAGAAAGATTTAAAGTTGATGTATAAAGAAAATTTTACAATAATTTTCAAGACTATTATTTATTGTCTTATACCATTCAGCACCATATTGTTTTTGTGAGATCCGTGAAACCAATTTTTTACACTTGTAACTTCAGAGCAAAATACTATGAAGGTAAAAAAAATCAGATACGACAATTTATGAAGAGTCCATACATGTGATTGGTTCCAAATTAAAGGTACTCATTATCAACATTGTTTTTGTCGTAGTTATTCACAAGTTCTTTTAAGCTCTAGATCTCCGTACCTGCATCATTTTCATCTGGGTATCCATTTTATTTAGTGGTACTCATGGGAATCCATCTTTTTCAAGACTATTATTTATTGTCTTATACCATTCAGCACCATTTGATTATTACATATTTCATGATTATCTACATTTTTCAGTTGAATCCAAGATTCAAATCAAGAATGCAGAAGTATTTGATGCTAACAGATAATATGAAATTAGACCCTAAATTTGAAACCAATTAATATCAACACCAACCTATAAATCTCTAAATTTCAATCCCGCAAGTACAATTGCGTATGAATCATCTAATGCAACCAAGGCTTTAACCCAATTTCAAGAAACGTACCACACAAAATGTGACATCAGTTCAAGTGATAATAACACTTGAACTTTTGAGGATTCTCTTCGGTGGTCATTGGTTTGAGTCTTACAAGGTCAATGGAGATTTTCCTAGAGAAGCTATTCTCCATGGCTTTCGGATTAGTCGAGGTGCAAGCAAGCTAGCTCAGACACGTACGGAAACGAAAGGACAACAAACATGACAATAAACAAAACATAACTAAGCATAAATCAAATAATGGGAAACTAAGTACGAAATAAAAATACATTAAATACCAATATTGAGAAAGTCAAAAGATAGCTTAATTACACAATATAAATCTTCACTCATTTGAGTCGATAAAGCGATGATACCAGGTTTAGTGAGACAATGATGTTTCTGGACCTAAACTCGTCATCCCCACTCATTCTACCAAGTTGATAAAGTGCAACTTTTTTTTATTTATGTGAATTATTTAGTTATATAAGGAAGAGTTTGAGCGAGTGATAGAGCCGTTGCAGACGCGTATGTTTGGAGGTGGCTCAACGCAGTGCCATTCTTTTTTTATCGGCCTCGGTTGCAACTTTAACATCCGTTGCCAATCCAACCATGTGAAGGAACTTGATCAACTCCCATGTCAAGTCGAATTGCCACAATTCCAATCCATGTCGAGCTGATTTTGGAAAAGCATGGTGATTATTATGCCAACCCTCTCCCAAGGTTAACATCGCCACCCACCTGCATGTTTAAATATTCATCGTAGGACTGAATCTAGGTTGATTATCTTTTATTTTATGTCTCATGAATATGAGCAGCCTATATATACACACACAGAGAGAGAGAGAGAGAGAGAGAGAGAGAGAGAGAGGGACAAGATCAAACGGGAATACGATCAACTTACGAAAACAAGTGGAATTTCAAGATCACATATTATAGAGTAAAATCACATGTAATAAAACATGTTGAACAAGCCGCAGACGACTTGGTGAACACGGCCAAGGGTAGTGAGAAAGGTCATTATGACTGGTCATCACAATATATTTATATATATATATATATATATATATCTCACACACACACATATATATATGTATATATATATAGGGTCGGGTTCACGTGAGACCAGCCTGTTTTCGTGAGACCCGTGAGACCAGCATTTTACATGTAAA